CATTTCATTTCATTTTGGTTTATTTTATCAGTTGTTTTTTTAATTTAATTTAATTTATTTGTTAAATATTTTATTTTATTTTCTATTCCAATGTTGTAGGATGGGTTTCTTCATATTCACTAAGATTTTCTATATATTACTAAGTTAGAAAAGCGCACTGTTTCGAAAATTATGACTTATATATTCTTATGTTTTACACTGATATTCATAACGTTAATTAATATCACACTATTTAAATCCTTATTTTTTATTCATGCATATACTCCTTTCCTAAATATCATATTTCTTATTTCCTTTACATTTTCAAATACATTGGGTAGGTTTTCTGTTTAAATTTTTATATATATTTAATCCAATGCACAGCATGTGTCATTCCTTTGTCACTCTGTTCTCGAGCTCAGGTCAACTAAACCTGACTTCGCCCCTTTGTCACTTCTTAAAATCTTAAAGTGCTCCATCAATTGTTTCTACTCTGGTCTTATTTAGTCAAAAAGCCACTTCAACTAACTTTCTAGCGAGCATGCTGAGGTAATAAGTCTTGGAAAGGGACCGAAAAGACTTCAAGTGGTTCTTACTCAGTGTAGTAGAAAATATTCTAGAACTGTCAATTGCCMGGGGTCGATTGCTTCCTCTGTAGAAAGTGGGAGATTTAAATATAAAAAGAATGATTGTACTAATGAATTGATGGCGAGTAAAAAAGAGAGGAAGGAAGAAAACCAGATAAGAAAAAAAGCAGGCATAAGAAAACTAATATATTGACAAGAAAATGCGCACTGACCAGCTTCCTAAACAAAGTATTGTGGGAAAAAACAAAAAACAAAACAAAAAAAAAAAAACAGATATAAAAATAAAACAAAAAAGAAAAAAAGAAAAGAAAAGGATAAAAGGAAGGAAGGAAGAAAAGGAAGGAAGGGGACAGGGATATCGTTTATTTCAAGTGGCTAACTAACTAATAGAGCTTAATTTCTCAAATAAGGAAGAATTCCTTGATAAGAAAACAAGAACTTGGCGAACGAAAAGCAACACACTTATGTTTTTTTCTTTTTTCGTATTTTGGGGGAAAGAAACCGGCACGCGATTCTATTAAATTTCATGTTCTGTTTTTGATCGGGGAAAACACTATAAAATTGAACAGAATATTTTAACATATCAAAACTAGTACCCAAAAGAAAAGATCTGATCCCGAGGATCGTACTAATTGAAATCAAGCTCGGTATTTTCTTCGGATTTGTTTTTTGAATTCTAATTACTCGTTCAGTTCCAAAGACTCGTTAATTAAGCGGACATCTTTCGTTTAGTTATTCAGCGTCGATCTAAATCTGCCTTGGACTAAGTTATCCTTGTACGATAAGCTGTTATACTTTTACTACTATATCGTTGAATTACGCAATGAAAATAGCGGATTTTTACCTCAACGAATGACGATAAATTGATCTAATTAGCAGGAAAATCTATAGGTTGTTATTGTTACATACACCCAAAACTTAGATATTATTGGGTATTTCTTAACAGCTATTCGATCAGTTAAAATCCCCAAATTAATTCATTGCATTTTTACCTGAAATGTAAAAAATATAAAATATATTTGTCTTTCCTGCGGATTAGAAACCACCGATTTTCTTACTCATTATTCCCAACGAGCTATATAAAATTAAATCATCAGTTCTTAAATCCTCTTATACAAATCTTCTCTGTATTTATTAATAACGTTTTGCACAGCTGGTTTTAAGAAGAAATAACTATTTGTATTAAGTGAAAGAAGTTTTTTTGAGGTGATTGAAACTTTGCTTATGATGCCAACACCGTCAAATAATGGTTTTATAAAACTAAATGAGAAACGATACGCCTGTTTCTCCAGGAAATGAAGCCACTGAAAAATTACAATTATGCGCGAGACTGAATTTTGTCCGTTGTTTGAAATATTAGGACTTCTTAGTGCAATCTGAGGGTGTTATTTGTGAAACGACGGAAGAGACTCGAGATTATTTCATTGTGAGGATTATAACAGAAAGAGGGAAGTGTTTGGCATGAAAAATTGATAAAATTTACGACTTAAAAGACATGAATTTGAATATCAAGACCAACTCATTCGAATTATTCAAATTTAAACTAAAATTACCGGTATGAAAATACGAATTGCTATGTATTAAAATAATAACCCAAATCAGCTATCTAGAGTAGGGTGTTTTAATTAGTCGATATGCATGTAAACAAGTGGTCAATGACAGACATCGATAACCAGATCCCAAGCATTGAACGTCATGGACGGTCGATTTGCTAGATTGGAACAACTGAGATTCAAAATTGAATTATCCTTGTGCGGTGCTATACTATTTCTGCCCCTGCTAGCTAGCGGCTAGTCAAAGTGCATGTAATCAAACCAAAGTAGTTGCATTAATAACTTTATTTAGAAGCAGGCGCAGGCAGGTGCAGTTGTACATTTAAAATCCCAAGCCTTGAGATCCAGTTTCATTCTCTGATTTAGTGGCTAATTGGATACTTTCTCTGTGCCTTGACAGCACTTGTCGTCTTTACGACAGACCGTAAACTTCTTTGACWTCAGGTTGATTCGCATGAACGTGTGGAACGATGGCTGAATCTGTTGGGTTTGTTTTTCATGTCCTCTTTCTTGTTCTCCTCATGATCGTCATAATATGTGGAAACAGTTTGGTCATCATTGCTTTCAAGACCAACAAGCGCCTTCGAACCGCAACATACACCTTCTTGGTAAGCTTGGCTGTCTCAGATTTCCTCGTGGGCAGTGTTTCGTTGCCTCTGTGGGTCTATCATCTCAAATATTATCCAAGCAGCGTCGAGGTTGGATTGACCAATTTTTACGCGTGCTTTGACATTTTCAGTGCCTTGGCCTCGATCTTTCATTTGACGGGAGTCACTCTTGAACGATGGATTGCGATTTGTAAACCATTTTACTATAACACTCTTTCCAAACGCTCATATCATATCTCAATTTTGATAGCGTGGTTTCTGGCGCTTGCTGTAGCGGCGCCGTATCCAAAGATTTATATACCGAAAGAAAACCTGTTTATTGCTTTCAAGGCCTACTCTGTTATCATCTTCCTTATGGGACTTGTTATCCCTTCAGTATTGATAACGTTCGTAAATCTGAGCATTTTCAAAGTCGTGAAATCTCTCGTGAAGACCACTCGTCAACAGCTCGATCAATCCTCCGATCGGGTCTTGGACAGAAACATTTTTCGAGATCGTAAAACTGCAATGACGTTGGTATTAATTACTACCTTATTCTGCGTCTCTTGGACGCCTTTTTTTCTCATCAACTTAGTCCCTATCTATTGTGGACATTGCTTTTCACCGATGCTTGGTAACGTCAAATTCGTATCGTGTGTGAAGTGGCTGCATTACAGCAACAGCGCCTACAATCCAGTTGTCTACGCTTTTCGTGATGCGGAAATGAGGATGACATTTGTACGACTGTTTAAACGTTGTGGAAGAGTTTTGAAAAGTCGACAGAAACCTAAATCAGAGTGGGAGTTGTCTTTGAACACTGACTTCATATTAAGTCCGCGCTCAGTGAGTAACTATAATCGTAGAGCAGATTTATCTATACCTTTAAAGACCAAAGTTTCATCAGTTTAGTTCAATAGTACTCCGTAATTAGCAGTAGATGAAAAAATGTAGTACACTATGCTAGTTTATTTGTATCAAATGCCACAATAGTTAGATTAATATCCTGAGACCATAGACACATTTCGAAGAGTTTGCTTTAATACTACGGCCTAATTAACCAATTTATTTTATACCTTTATATTCTACGATAGACTGTATTCTATTTTTATTTCATATATAAAATATACCTTTTTCGAATTCGCTTGTGCAACAAAAATGTTGACTATTGCAAAAGTGAAAATCCTGTGAAGGCATTAAAACACTTGAAAAACGAAGATCAATGTTCAAAGCTTTAGCAAATTCTAATTTTATGCCTTTTAAAATTGTTTAAAGAATGATTTAGACTGTACATATACATATACAAATGGTACTGTATAAATGAATTTACACCCTCCTGTCAACATATCTGACCATATTTACTTATCACCTCAAACTCCATCTCTGCTGGTGAATTTAATCTTGCCCGCGGCAGGGTACTTCCCCTCTTCCGGAGCTAACTACTTAACCACCCATCGATTCATCCATTGACTGCTCCCTGGTTAGTCCTTGCCATTGAGGTTTATTTCGGTACAACGGTGCCTCCCCTTTCACCTGCCAATAGGTAACCAGTTATATCTAGTAGGGTCGCTGGTTTGAGCCCTGCGGTCGCCACCCGTGAATTGAGTTTGTTTGAAGTGTTGTTCTCTCCTATGCTACGAGGGTTTTCTCCGGGTTCTCCGGTTTCCTCCCTCCGTAAAAATCAACATGAGTTGAGCGTCGTGTGCATAGAATATTAAGTGAAAAGTGTCCCTAATTAGTGCGAAAGCGCTAGAACAACTAGACAATTAAATAAAGTGATTTAGTTTTTATTTTATGGTCGACGTTTAGTAGCTTTAGGAAGAGTGATACTAATACGAATAAATACATTATTCTCCACCTAAACAACATTTCTGTCCAAACTGCTTTAAACATATCACATGTATGTACATGTATATATAATGATAGCAAGAATGATGATGTCAATGCATTGAATAAATGTAAATAAATATATCCGACCATCTGAATAGAAAAAAATCAAACGCAAGATTCCAGATTTCAAACGCACTTTGAAGTTAAAATAAAGCAATTGCATAGTTTAACTTTGAAAATGAAATGTTAGCTACATGAATAAGCTGTAATAGAATTTGAGGACTTGAGCATATCTATTTTTATTGCCGAGTGCACCTAATGGTCCTCGCATTATTGTAAAGTAGTTAGGCCGATTTTCTCCCGTATCTTTATTGAAATACTCCTTAAGGGCACAGCCAGAACTTTCTAACCGGATAAGAAATCATGAAATATATAGTTATTCTACTAGTTTAAATAAAAAAAGAACCATAAAAGGCGATACTTATTCAGCTGTCATTCGGTGATTGAATTAGAGTTTAAATGCGTTTGCTCTCTCCATTTTTATAGGAAACTATTTGTGTTGCATGGGAAACCGTTGCAAGAACATAAATCATTAGAGAGTTTTAGATTGACTTTTTTTGTCCCCGCAAACGGCAAACGTGACCACGTTTTCATAGTTTTCCTGTATTTTACTTTACCTTTTACAAACCTTCTCACCAAGCGCAAGTACTCTTTTGTTTTTCTACTACTTGGACTTTTTTGCGATTCTTTTTCAGTAATTTAAAAGAATTTTTTTACTGGTCATCTGACGCGTTTGCCGTGAACGTAAACCTAAAACTCTCTATTGCTGTGGCTGATTGAACGTATCACCACCGTTATACCAAGCGACCATTAGCAACACACACTAAAAATTCATTAATAACGGCTAAAAAATAATCAATTATTATTTTTACAAACATTCTATACTATTTCATGAATTCTTCTACAGGAATATTGGCGCACTTTCATGTTCCACATTTCATTTATGTCATCCGTGTTAATGATCGGCTTATCTTTATCCAAATTGATGTCAGTCATGAAAAATAGCCTAACTGGTTGCTCATGACTGTCTGTGTAACGGTGATGTACTATTAAATTAAGCAGTTTTTGTAGTTTGAGAAAATAAATATAGCTCGTAAAACAGGGTTATATTACCACCTTTCTCTGAATAATTCTTTCTTTCTTTCTCTCTCTTTCTTTCTTTCTTTCTTTCTTTCTTTCTTTCTTTCTTTCTTTCTTTCTTTCTTTCTTTCTTTCTTTCTTTCTTTCTTTCGACATGTCCTATGCAATAAAAATTGACGCCCATCTTAGATTTGATGTCTCCGTTCTTAAAAGTAACAATCAGCTTTTGTCTCGCCTGCGCCTTGTCCAATAAAATCTCAAATTCGTATTCAAAAGCCTTCGGCGCAATTATGAATTTCTAAAATTTATTTCATGAGTCAGAGTTTATTCTTATCGCCTATCGATACTTTAGCTTGTTTATCTCGCGATGAAACTTCAGAGTTTACTCTTTCACAAGGTTTAATAACTCCTAAGCACGTTTGTTTGCACTCTTGCGAAATTCTTATCAATATATAATGGACTAGCTCAAGGAATACGTGATGATATAAGAATTTTATTTGCACGGCAATTCATTGCTGCACTTAAAACGTTGTAGCCTTTAAAGTCGGTGTTTTCAACATTAAAAAAAAAAAAAAAAAAAAAAAAGATGCATAGAAACGAGTAAATGGATAGGAAAACTCAATAGACAAAATCGATATACATCGTTTTTTCCCTTCCTGGATATTATAAAGAAACTCCTACAAAAGATTAATTTAACGGTGTTTGATTTTTGTTTGTCTTTCTGCGTTTGTTTTGGAATCCAAAATACCTAATCTATTGCTTTCAAGATAGAATGTAACGTTATTCAGAGAACGGAAAAGGAGCCGTCATTTCCTTGCGCTTGATTAAGATCAACACAGCAAACATTGCGTATTTTAGGATTTTGTGAAAAAATAAATGAACATTTACCAGCTGTACAATTTATTTGAAACCCGATAGTCGTATGATATATTGTTATTTAAATAAATAAATAAATAAATAAATGTATATATATACTGAAACCGCGCCAAAATAGTTTTATTAGAAGTTGTAATTTTAATAATTTATGCCTGCCAAACATAACAAATACTTGCTTAAATGGAATTGATAATTTTACTAATATCAAATTGTCAAAACCCCTTAAAAATAAAGAAGTCGTGTGTCACACCACTGGACCGCGTTTTACCAAACATCTCACCATCAAATAGTCGTGTGTCACACAATGGACTTTTTACATACATCACACAATCGAGTTGTGTGTCACACCAATGGACTTTTCATCATACATCACACCATTAAAAAGTCGTGTGTCACATAAATGGATTTTTTTTACTATACATCAAATCATCAAGAAACGTGTGTCACACCAATACAGTCAAATCATCAATTCAAGAAGTCGTGTGTCAATACGTTACCATAAATCACACTTTTTGCATCGGAAAAATCACAAACTTTATTGAATTTCAATTTTTTTTGTCAAAGACTAGATTATTTTTAGGAGGGTTTTTTGTATTTATATAACATCACGGTGAAAATAGTATTATTTGTGGATTATCTGGTTATCACTATTGTTATCTAATTGACCTTTTTCGAATTCAAGTGTTTAAGTGTTACTATACTTTGAATGGTGTTATCATTTTTATCAGTACACCTTACGTAGAATAGATTATCCCTAGATTATCAACTATGATGTTTTTGTTTTCGAAATACTATAGACTTAATACAAATAACGATTTTGTGAAGGGTCTTATCTCGGCTTTTAAAATGAAGCAATTAGCAGAAATAGAAGCAATTGGATACACTTGCAGTTGACAATGACGAATAGTCCACTTCACAGTTCCCTGCGCCATCTTGAAAGCTAGCCGTGCCTTTGCATTAGAGTGAGACAAACGGTGACCTTGCAATGGTAGAGACCTTTTTTAAACACCTTTATCAATTATTGACACGTCTCTATCATTGCGCAAGCTCACCGTTCGTCTCGTTTCGATGCAAAGGCACGGTTACCTTTCAAGATGGAGCAGGGAACTGCGAAGGGGACTATTTTTCCAGGCTAATAATATCTTTAAATTTTGTTTTTCGAAAAATGAAAATTTGAAAATCACGATTATAAGCCCTGGGTTTACACTTATTCATAAGGGTTTTTTGATTGGCCTATAACCAGGGGGAAATGTTAGGGGAGTGGGTTGGTTGGCGGGTGATGCTTGAGGGTTGGGGGGCTTATAAGGCCAAGTAAAAAAAATACATGTTTATCTCCCCCCCCCCCGCTTCTATTTTGGGCCGCCTGTTTTTTTGTTTTTGTTTTATTATTATTATTTATTTGTTAGAGTGCATTCAGTCAAACTGTTGAAAAGTTAAACAGATTTATCTAACTTAGTTAACTATTTAGTTGACCTCACCTAAAATAGTTAATGCGCACCAAATAACGGTCATGCTAATCCGGGGGTTTGTTTGCCAGAGAATGCGTGAATAGACAGTTAAATGTATCATCGTTTTAAATTCCCCCCTGATCTCAGTAGCTGTTTAGTCGTAGTTTCAAATTTATGTGACGTCAACTAAGATAGTAAACAGCTTATCTAATTTAGGTGGCGTCACCTATTCAACGGTTTGACTGTTTTAAAAATCGAAACGAAAAAACGTAACAGGCGCTACTTTCGTTTCGAACCCAGTCTCCCTCAAGTTGGTACGAAGAGAAATTCGGTAAAAACATGACTTTTGTTTGTGTGTAAATAAAAAAACCCGCCCGACCGCGCTCTTTTTTTTTAGAAATCCGGACGATAAACATATAATTCCTTTTACTTCGCCTAACCGGAAGGAAAACGTGTTTGGAATAAAGAGGAAATGGCTTTTTTCTTTTGTGTTCCCAGTCAATCTCTTATGTTTCATCAACGAATTAAACACGAGAGTTCAGAAGGTGAGCATATAATAATGTATAAACTAGTAGGTTTATAACCTGGAGGGCTTATAACCAGAGGGCTTATAACATGGATTTTATGGTGTAATTTTTTCCTATGGCTAATTTAGCAATTTAACTAGCTATCAAACTAATGATCATTCCTTAAAATGTTCTCCGCATATCTTTAACATTTGGATGTAGAAAAATTTTGTTTTATTTTTTCGACCCCCTCACATTTATTAATTTACGCACATTGACACTTCATAGACCTATTCGGCTCTTACGTAATGTTTTCCCATTTCAGACCACATGTCATTCCCTAGAGTATCATTTCTTTGTTTAAGGTTTGCGCTCGGTTGCACATGAGGAGAAACATGAATATGGATATAGCTCAAAAACGAATCTAATTCTCAAGGGAGTGACACGTGGTCTGAAAAATGGGAAAACATTACCCCAAGCTGAAGAGGTCTATAGGTTGCTATCAATAGACGTCACTTCCGGTAGTAGCTCTTTTTTAATGGCTTGTAGAATCCTGGAGGTTGTTTTGATCTCTTGTTTTCTGGTTTGACGTCGTGAAAATAGTCAAATACAATAGTTTGAGGACTTATTTTGATATGTTTTGACTTAGCATCCGCTAGTTGCCCCCCAGTCAACCGCTTGTTTGCCCCCCAGTCAACTCCAAAAAGTCACGTGATTGATAGTAAGCAATTACCAAGCCTGCGTTCAGCTGGTATCATTTTTCTCGAAAGAACGAGAGAAATTATACTGACTGAATTATACTATACTGGCTAACTATTAAAGCAAGAAGTGCTTAAGTTTACCTTAACTAAATAACGCGGGATTTCTCTTGGAGTCTTCAGCTGTTTTTGTACTGATTTTATTTAGTAATATATTCAACTATTTATAGAAACAAAAAACATGTTTTCATTTGATATTGGACTAAATTAGATATATGTAACGGACACTTGCAACATTTATTTAGAATAAAAATTTTGGTTTGTGGCAAGTTATAAGCTGATTACTCATTTGGCAATAATTATCACACCAGGTCATTTTACCGGCAGCTATTACGCAAACCTGTCTTGCCACAAAATCATTCGAGTGGAATTGGTCAAAAATATTAAATATACCAGCTGATTAGTTTTGATTGACGGCAGCGAAAAACCAAATTTCAGCTTGCAGCTCGCAGCAAGCGAGTTTGCATGTTTTTGAAAATAGCAATAATAATGTAAGACACTATGGCATTGGATGCTTAACACGAAATGATAGAAAAAGCTGAGATAACGAACCCGCCTTGAAATGAACGAACGTGTTATAAGGCTTTTGATTTTCGATTCAATTTACAATTTCGGGGGAAAAAAAAAAAGATAAAGGGAATTTCAATGGATTAAAATGCTAAGGCGAAAAGAAGTAAAGCTTTTTGTTCTGTTTGTGTTTTTAGTAAATGAATTTCTAGAACTTTTATGTAGTATATAGCGGGCTGATTGGCTGGCTGGTAACGTTTAAGCTTAGTAAAGATACACGACCGCACAAAACTGGATATCAACAATAAATTTGTTAAATTTGATAATAACTACCAGTTCACAAATATGGCATAAATAAGGAACGATTTTATCTTGCAAGTAATTCTTTTCAGTTTATGATCTACAACATCTGCTTCTAAAAGGTATAGATACAAGTGACATCCTTCTGCTAGCACAATAGCAAAAGCAATACCTACCTATCGAGAAATGAATTGATTACGATGATAACGATTTACGGTTTTCATAGCCGCCAGGTTGGCTGAATACGATATAATATTTCTTATTTCAATATGGCCGCAGCCACGACATCTTTTTCTTTCTTCCTTTCTCTGCAAACTCATTATTGACTAGACACGTCTATAATATTAAGTTATGCATCATAAAAAAGGCTGATAGTTTATTTCAGCCGTTAAACAATTGTGCGTTGTTAAGGTTATATCATTTGAACTCTGCTGTAGTCAATGGGATTTATCAAGTGGAACCAATACCGACCTGTGAGGCACCCCGATGACGTGACGCCTCATATTTTTCATTAACAGTAGATATCTCTTTTTGAGACAATCTACCATATTAGATTTCCAAAGATTCAAGTGAGATCTTATATCTGATTCGTTTGTTTTTTCTAAACCCGGATCTATTTTTGACATCATTAAGTATCTCGTTTTTGAAACATTCAAATGTCGGCAACTTCGTTTTCCTCGTTTACCTTGTCATCCGGTCTTTTTCTAACTACAAGTCATTTTAGACAGGCTTTTTCCGTAGACCCGAGCAGCCATCTTTAATGACAGTCAAATTTCTTATTGTCATTTCACTGCACACTCAGATAACAGACTATCTGATACTTCCTTATAAATTAAAAAAAAAAAACATCTTTGGAGCGAACTGAACTAATTACACGGAAATGTCAAAATCGCAAGCAGGCACTAGCTAGTAAAAAAAAAAACCGGATAACTTTTCCAGCCAGTTGTCACCGTGGAAGAGGAACATTTTGAAGAGAGAGAGAGAGAGAGAGAGAGAGAGAGAGAGAGAGAGAGAGAANAGAGAGAGAGAGAGAGAGAGAGAGAGAGAGAGAGAGAGAGAGAGAGAGAGAGAGAGAAAACCAATCAAATCAATGGTGATATTAATGCCGGATTAATCTTTTAAGGTATTTTGCATAAAAGTTAGTGATTTTACTTTAATAACCCGTGAAAAAGTAGCAAGAAAAATACACACTGAACAGTATATACTAATTACATGTTCTTTTGTTTATTGTTGTTGTTGTTTTAGTAGTTACTAATACTATACTATGCCTCAATTTTGTTTCACGGGCCACAAAACACCTATAATCATCTCGGGTGAGTAAATAGATAACCATGTCTTGGTTCTAACGGCAACTAGACCCGAATTAAAGACCCCAAAGACGACTGGCTATTCAGTCGGATATTTTTTTTAACTCTGTGAAAACAAAACAAAACACCTGCAGATGACCTGACAATCGACTGACAAAATCATGCAAGAACATGTTTAAGGATAAATATTTACAGGACCCGAGTCGTTTCATAATGCTGTTTTATTGCTCACTAAAGACTAAAGATACTCGTTCTAGTGCCCCAGAGTAGTTTCGAGTCAACGATGATGACAGCCACCCATGGGAAGCTGATGGATGACGTAGCGGCGAGAGATCGTTAGTTAGAGTGCCTACTGGTAATTCAATATAGCCGTGCCTCTTTGCCTTACAAATACCTTTTGCACTATTCGTAATACAAAGACTTGTAACATGTAATTTGGAATTGATTTTCAACCACATGCTCAGCCAACTAATGCTTAATTCTGCAATATTTATCACTCTTGACGAATACTGTGGTCTGGCCATGTACAGTAGCCTTTAAACCTCTTAGCCAATAGCTACTACTCTATAAACTGTATGATCCTAGACCTTAACCAGTGGCGGATCCAGAGGTGGTTCCAGGACCCCACCCCCCTCCCCTTTGTGAGATCTTGTAAAACCAATCATATTCTCTATGTTCATTAGAATGAAATTGGAACCCTCCTTTGTGAAGTCAACCTTACCAGCTTTTTCGTTCTTAAATTCTTGGGGCCGCCACCGTTAACCTTAGGCTCACTGATTCTTGCTATTACTCACTTCGGTGAACGCGGTATTTCTTGCATGGTTTCTGAACGATATGGACATGGATGCTCTTCTCATAATCACGCCTTTTGATACACTTCCTTGAGATTTTCCTGTGTTTAGTATTTCTGAATGGCCAGTCAGTTACCACGTCCTAAGAGAGGTTCTGTACTTTTTCTGAATCTTGTCATAAGACATTCTTCTTCATAATAGTTGCTCTTCCTGTACGCGTTACTCCTTTTGATATACTTTCCTATATTTTCCTATATTTAGTGTTTTTGAGTGACCATATCTTAATGGGTTCTGTACATTTTCTGAATATTCTGCCATAAGGCATTCTCCTTTATAATCAGCTCCAGGAAATTCCTCTCCACGAATCTTCACTTCCTTGAAGTTCTATATCAAGCGGTGAGCTTTCAAAGCAAAGGTCAAATATTGAATAACCTTCCGTTCGATTCCTTTGATCCTTTTCACATGATCCGTTTCAGTCACCTGCGGCTTTAATTTCCAGCGCTTCACAAATCCCCACAAAGATATTGGTTTAGAAAGTAATTTCTCACTCATAATCTACTCGTTTAATCAGTTTCTGCATGTACTTTGTTTGACTGGGTATTTGGAACTGTAATTCTCTAATACGATCTCGTTTCTGGAAGATTATTGCGGCCGGGAATCCTATTACGAAGGTGCACTTAGACATTGCTGTTCATAATAACTGATCATCGCCAAACACATCTTTACAAGTGCTTATCTACAAATATCACATATAATGACATTCTTTGACGTTTGTTCATAAACACAGCAAGCAAAACCCGACTAGAATTTTCCATCTTTCCAACATTAAGATTTTGACGGACCTTATTTATTGACAAAGAAACCACTGGTTTTCGTTTTTTGGTTTAGATTAAATTAATTTGAAAAAATACTTCCTAAATTAAATGTTAGTGGTGGGTTTAACGGAAATTGTTATAGGTCTTAACAACTAGAGATGTCTCTTTCTGTCTTTCTTGCCTTTGTTATATTTTATATCATAACCTTTACGTGAAAAATACTAAAAAAAAGTCCTTATACGTCCTTGCCTGTGACATGCAAATGTCTCTTTTTTCGTTCATTCATTCATTAATTCCTTTTAGGAAATCCTTTTTTTTGTCATCTGATTATTCATAAATAACTTCAAGATATGGCTCGTGTTACCTAATATTCCGATCTTCATTGATTTTATTAAATAAATATTGACAACAGCATTGTGTTCCCGCCACGAAAAGTTTGAGGGGAAAAAATGAAGTGTGCTGGAAATTACAGTCATGTTTTTGATGCGTTTTTACATGAAAAACTCCCCCGAACAGGAAAGGCATATTAATTAAAATCGAAACTTTGTGACAGTTGGTGCTGTCGTCTACAGAGACGATTAGATCTTATGAAAATGATATGCAATTGACTCACTCTAACACAGAATCGATTGGGACTAATACTGATAACGACGTACTCATTCATCGGGACGATAACTATCTCTTTTCATTGATGAAAATCCATAGAGCTGAAAGGGACAGCAAAACAAATGGTCTGAAAAGTTATTAAGTGTAATGGCGACCGAAGGAGTTAACTACCGGATTGGTTTTTCTTCTTTTCTGTTGGTGCTTATTCTAATAGGGAACGGGCTGGTCATATCTTCGTATCACTTCAACTCACGGGTTCGCACAGCTACATATATTTTGATCATAAGTCTGGCTGTTTCAGATGGACTTATTGGTGGTGTTACGCTACCGCTATGGATCTACGTAGCGACCGTCAGAAAGTGGAACATAAGCAAGGCTCTGCAAGTGTTTTATTTATCGTTTGATATTTTCAGCGCACTTGCTTCGACTTTGCACCTCACGGTTATTAGTATTGAACGTTTTGTGGCAATATCAAGGCCATATCTCTACCACACTCTGCGTCCTAGGGTGTACACAATTTCTATCGTGGCTATCTGGTGTATATCATTATTGCTCTCCGGTATATATACACTTGCAAAACTCTATCCCCAAAATGGAGGCATTAATTATTTGAGGATCTACACGCTTTCATTTATTTTTGTCTTCTTTATTGCGCCGCTCATTATGATCACCATTATAAACATCGCAATATTCTTCATCGTTAAGAAGTTAACCCGAGGCCAACCAGCAAGACATCAATCCCAGAGACGCGTTGCGCAAAGCAGGAGAGCACTGCGCAAAGAATACAAAACCGCTTTGACTTTATTTGTGGTGACGGGGTTATTCTACGCGGCATGGCTGCCATTCTTTGTGGTGACTTTATTGTCCATGTTCTGTCGAGCTCAATGCCTCCCATCAGACACTAACCAACTCCTTCTTCTAATGGAGCTGATAAAATGGTTACAGTACAGCCAGAGCGCGTTTAATCCTTTTGTTTATGCGTTTCGAGACCGTGAAATGCGTGTAGCCTTTTTGAGGCTTTTTGTTTGGTGCGGAAGACGGGCTCGTGTTTTTCCGGAAGGATTTAAATTGAATTCAGTCATGAATCGTACTCGTAATTCATCCAACCCTCAAGCATGCAGCTATCCGATCCCTTCAGAAAGCGTCCCAGTGAAGACTACCAACCAAGTGAAGTTAGCAGAGATGCCTCAAACAAAGGGGTTTACAATTGAAATTCTCAATGAGAATTTGAATAGAGATATTGATCCAGGGACTGAATAGAATCCCTGATACCTAAATATGCTTTAAAGTGTACATTGGGTTTTTGTCGATAGACCAAGTCATAAAACTGTCACTGAGCGAACGACAATGATGTCAAAACGCGTTGTCGCGCGCGACAAGAAGAATAACGATCCCAGTCTAAAGTCAATGACACCTGACCCAAACACTGCTACTTGCTCGATATATTTAATCCAAAAAATAGCAAAGAAGAATTTAATCTACAAAGTATTAACCATAAACAATGACTACTAACGAAAAATCGACTTGTTGCTGTACACTGATTTTTAAAAGAATATACATGAAAGTAAACGTTTGCATGGTAGTCACCTGAATCTTGTTTTTTACGATTTGCACAACCACCGTGTTTCTCTCAAAGAGAAGGCCTAGATTTTCTAATATTTAAAATTTTTTTAAACTTTGTGTTTAGGAGGAAGAAGAGGGATCGAAAAAAATAGGCACTCATTTCAAGAATCCTTGTTTGAAGAACGGTTTTGGGCGCCTCAAGACTGCTTATTTTCATTCTGGAAAAAATAATGAGTTTGCAAGTGTTTAAGACAAAATCCGATTTGAAATCCTTATCCTCCTTCTTTTTCTATAAAACGGCTATTGTCGAGGAGGCAAAAGATAAAATTTTCGACGGCGTTTCTGATGATTTTTTTTGGTAACAAAAAAAAGATTGACACATAATATCAATAAAAAACAAACAGCAAGCCACGTATACAACCGACTTATTAAAAAAAGGGAAATATGAAAACATTTCCAGTTTAATAACATCGTTTGGAATTTCTGTATAAATTATGAGGATTTTTGTCGCTCAAAAAACTAGAAAATTCAGAGAAATGCTAGTAAACTTTTAGTTAAAAAAATCGTATGTATTTTCGTAACGATTCTTTAGGTGTTTATTCGTGATGTTAGTAAAAACAGCGGCCAAGACTCCACTTTTATTGTCTCGATATGATTCAAATCTGATATCCTGAAATGAGTGTAGCTTTACTAAAAGCAACCAGCCCATTCCATTAGCGAGCTCATTAGTTTTATCATTTTAACGAAAACAGAACAAAAGACAGGAACTTTTTGTTAGTAGGATTTTAGATTCTGTTTTAATCCCAATTTTAAGATAACATTCAAACTCTTTAGTAGCGTTTGCTTTGTAATCATTTTTTCTATAATCCAATGTTTGTTGCTAGTTTATTTTATCGGGAAAAAAACAAAAACGGATTGGAAACGTAGCTGTGTCATTAAAAAAATAAAAAAAAAAAAAAAATATATATATAATAAATAAATAAATAAAAATAAAAATAAATAAATAGATAAAAAGAGGAGAAAAGCCAAACACTATAAAAACTCAGATGGAAGCCATTATTTGAGATAATAAACTTTTTATAAAGGTATAACCTGAGGGGAATTAAGTATTACCCACGACTGACTATGCAGTAAACACTCCCTGGCGGCGATATTCTTTATTTTATCTTGGTTAATGCATTACATACATGATTAATGGAAAAGTGCTTTATCAATTTTATTTTTAGTAATAACACTTGCATCTTCACTGGATAAACATATCAAAATTTACGTTGAACTTGTGTTTCATCGCTGTATATCACATGACGCACTGTTCCCTTGGGCAAGATTTCTTATTCAGTATCTCAAATGTCGACGTCAGTGGGAAAACACTATTGATTTGGGAAAAAACGAAGATTTTATTTTTTCAAATAATCAAGTTGAGCCGGAAAACGAGTATCGCCTCGCCATCTTGGAAAAACGAATACAAACATGACGGCTACGTTCAAAAAGTAACAAAAATATTCATATTTTCACACCACCACCGTGGCGCTTGACGACGTAGAAGGCACACGATAAGCATGATTTCGTTTGCTATTCTCGACATTTAACAATATGTTATATTGAGAAATTAGACACATTTTGAAATGAATAAACCTGTTTTAATTTGAACGTTAATATATGGCGAAAAGTACTTGAAAAACCTTGACACTGACTTATTAATAATGAGGGACCTGTTAATTAATTTACCTTGGTCATTAAATCATAAAAAAAGACAGTTCAAAACACGAGAACGTGTATGCTTTCATACACCCTGAATAACTAAATAACAGATAACCAAATATAAGAAATACGAGAACGTCTATACA